CCCCATATTAGGAAACACAAAATCTCTATGCTAAAAAAAGATAATATAAATTACAAAAAATAGATAATTCTAAAAGGTAGAAACTACTAAAAATACAAACTAATAAAAAATAGAAGATAACAAATGCAGAAATTTCTAAAATTCCGACAACAATTATATTTTAAACGCCCGGTTGAAATATTTTACCAGTTATCATGTTCGATAGCATCCTGTATAGCAGCATTTAACATCTCAACCATTGATGGGTGAATGAAAAGACTGTCCAGTGCAATCCCTTCATGGTACCTGGACTAAAATAGAAAAAGTGAACAAGAAATCCACATGAGATAAAAAAAAACCGGCTGCTGTGAATAAGGATATGAGCTAATTACTCTGATTATGTTAGTTGCTAATTAAATTTAGATGTTAGAGCCAGAGAAGCCTACGAAGTACCTGCAAGTACTGTTTAGGTTGAGAAATTCCAAGTTTGAGAAGGACATCATATCCAATGTATGAGTTCTGTACCCCAAAGATCAATTAGCAAAGCAATCATCAGAAACAGCTAAAATTTGCAGAATTAGACAACTAGAACAAAAGCTCATTTGCAATCTAAGAGCCACCCAACCACACAAATATACCTGCATTAGCTTCAAGGCTCAAACATCAACAATTTTAAGAGAAAAACAGTCAAATTACTGGCAGAGGCACAATATGGAACATCAACAAATAAGATGCATCAATACTATTTCATAAAACAATATGTAGTGTCTGACACATGTCAAGCATGTCTATTACGTGTCCAGATTAGAAAAAGGGAAAAATAAGCACATTTGTGACCCAATAGCAATCATTTCCTTGCTAATTGCCTTCACCATTCCGTCCTTTCACATGCAATCCAGTCTTTTGCATCAACGCCTCATCTCTTCATGAAGCATCCCTATCATCACACCGCCTCCTTTTGACCACTGTCGCATCCTCTTTACATGTTACAGACTCCACCTTATTTATTTTAAGAATTATGATCATACAAACCATTTAAAGATTGATCTGGATTTATTGGGAGAGCACAAATTGTTCGCCAAATTTTCTAAGAGGAAGATTTGGCTGAGCAAAGTTGGTTTCTGGTACACATCATTAGTACAGTGCAGATATCAATTGATTCAGAAAATATTGAGAGCATTAGCGGAATGGCAAAGGTCAACTGGTATGACTGATATTTAAAACTTTTTAGAATTAGTTGGCTACTATATAAGGTTTGTAACGGAATTCTCATATTACATTAATGTTATCCAGACTGGCCAAAAAAAATTTTAAATTTGAACGGATTAAAAAGTGTGAGTGAAGTTTCCAAGAACTTGAGAGATGTTTTAACTTTTGCACAAGTGTTGATGATTTCAACTAAAATTGAGAGATTTCAAATATATAGTGATGCATGTTTAAAAGATTTGAGAAGTGTTTTAATGAAAATCATAAAGTTGACTGATTATACTTCAAGACAATTAAAATCATATGAGTTGAATTACCAGATACTTTATTTAAAGTAGATTTGCTCTCAATATTTGAAGGCAATATCTAAATGAAGTTAGATGGGGTGTGTTTGAAGTATATTTCTACCTAGAAATAATTAAATTTAAGGTTCAGAAGATTAGAACTTATTAAAGATTATGAACTTGATATACAATACTATTCTAAAAAGGCTGCCATAGTAGCAAAAACATTGAGTAGAAAATCTCGACTTGTAAGTTGGACGTAACTCAGAAAGCAGAGCTAATCAGTGATACAATGGCATTACAACTAGAGAGTAGAGTAAAAAATAATCATGCCTCAACATTTGACATCAAATCATTGTATAACCTAATATTGAGAAACAAATCTAGTATATGTAGAAGGCCAGTAAGGAATATCATAAGCTTATTGATCAAATACAAACAGGCAAAGAGACAAAATCTCGCAAGGTGTAATCAAATATAATTTCCATCTCTAGATTCGAAGAGAATCATACATGGGATCATTATTCAAGTTATTCAATTCAACATAGTATCAAAATGTATAAGGATTTAAAAACACTAATCTAGTGAGCATGAAAAGGAGGAAGCTATAGCTGACTATATAGCCAAATATGAGTCCTATCAGATAATAAAGGCTGAAAACCAGAAGCCAAACGTAATGTTATGATCGCTATCAATAGCAAGTAGAAGTAGAAAAATATAGATATGAATTTTGTTGCAAGTTTACCAGATCAAGAAAAGATCATGATGGTTGTTGGATCGTGATGAATAGATTGACAAGGTCAACACCAATTATGCCTATTCCTCAGCAGATTCAATAGAGAAATTGATAAAAATATTTGTGAAAGAAATTATGAGCTTGATAAAATTCGTAAGGCAATTATATCAGACAAAGATAAACGATTCACATACAGCTTATGAAAAGGTGTTCAAGAAAGTTTAGTTATTAAATTGCATTTCAATATAGCATTTAATTCATAAACAGATAGTCTGGTAGAAAGTACTATTCAAGTGTTAACAAATATGGTAAGGTTATGGTAGCTAAGAAGATAAGATTAAACTAATAACATTTTTATCTAAAATAGCTCTTATGAGGGACTAAATAGCTAAAATTGCGGACCTCCACTAAATTGGATTAAATTGGAGAGAAATAGCTTATAGATCCACAATTAGTTGATCAAGCTACTAAGACAACCAAATAATCAAAGGTGAATTGAAAATTGCACAGGATCATCAACACAAATATCATGACTCAAATTATTGAATGATAGAATATAAAGTTGATGAGTTTGTGACTCTAGAGCTCAGCCAATGAAGGTTATATCCAGATTTGGCTACGGAGAAAAATTAAATAACAAATATATCAAGCAATTTGAAATAATTTTAGGAATTAGAAATTTTGCCTACAAATTAGCAAATATTTCTGACATAAATAATGTTTTCCATATTTCAATGCTAAAAAATTGATCACTGATAAAAACCGAAGACTACCTTTAAGATGAAATTGATATACAGAGTAATTTGCCTTATGTTCAAGAACCAGAAAAGATATTAAATTTTAATATTGGAGAGCGGGAGAATAAATAAATTCCTTATATGAAAGCGAAGCTTAGACAAAATACAAAAAAGAAGCGTCCTAGGAAAAGAACAGTCTATAAGACAAATTTTCACTTGTTTAGTTGATCATCAAAGAAGCAAACTTCAATGACAAATTTCCAGAAAAGTGGAGAACTTAAATATTCAAAATTTAAAAACCCTAACACCAATAAGACTTACAATTTTATACATCAATTTTATCACCCCAAAAAATCAATAAAATATTTTTTATAAAATCCTATAATTTATTAGAATCATTTTGAAGTATACATACATACATATAGATAATTGTAAGGATATTAGTTAATAAATTATTTTATAATTTAAACTATTTAAACCTAATTTTATAATACTGAAACTATTATACCAGTAATGGTGAGTAATTCATGCACAATACTAAAAATCATGCCTTAAAATAGAATACAAAATTCTATAAATATTTAAAAGGAAACTCGGGCAAAGAAATTCCATTAAAAAAGAGAGGATTTGGCTATTGAATCTTACAAAGATGTAAATTACTTGGGTTATATGGTTGACATGAGGTCAACATCAAAATATTACACATTCTTAAAAAACAATCACGTGACTTGGTGACAAAATCTTGCACATAAGCTGAATTTAGATCTATAGCATTGAGAATTTAAAAATAGCTATGGCTAAAATTATCCTAAAAGGTTTACATATTAAATGAAAAGATCCTTTGAGGCTCTTTATGATAATAGGTAAACCATCAATATTGCTAACCATGTTGACCTCATTTTTAGTGAGGTCTTAGTCTCAAGGTGAAAAGGATAATGAAGCTCATAAACATATTATAAAGAAGCTTGATAATACTCTAATTTGTACTAAATTCCAAAACTACAAACGAACAAACTATTGACACTCCCATTAAACGATTATCAAGGGTAATCCTTGAGAAATTATTAGGCAAGCTTGAAATGAATTACACATACATTCACTTAACAGGAAGTGTGAAATCCCAACAAAATTTTAGCGGGCTAAAATCCAAGCTAAGACTTCCACCAAACTTTCTTCCTCTTTCGCTACCACTTCATTAATATCTGAGATCCCTATTGTGTAGTTATCAATCCACAAACTATTTTGATTATAATTACTATTTTTTCAACTTATCAATTCATTGAACGTAGTACTTATTCAGTAATTATTGTTCCTTGCTTTATATGTTTTCACTTAAAAGCTGTACTAAATATATATAAATACATGACAAATATTAAAATGAAAAAATCAACCAATTCTTGTAAACAACTTGTATATTGAATGTATTATTAATAGCAAAGTACCTATAAAATGTTTATATTTTTGCATTAACTCCACCTAGAAAAAAAATATATAAATTTTGCCAACTGCAATGCACAAAACCTCCTATATATATAAGTATCTAAATTACTAAAATAAGCATTCAAAAGAAAACATGCTCTTACATAAATAAATCGATCTTTTCTTTAATTTTGTGATTTCCACAATGTATGTTTTGCATATCATCCTAGAATATTTCCTCAATGTATGTTCTGCACCTTTGTTGCTACAAATTAAAATTCAAAATATATAAAAATTTAATTGCCTTTAAGCTGAAGCAAAAATGAAACTAATATAAAACAAAAAAAAACGAAAAATGAAAGGCCAATCCACAGATTTTCTTTCTTGTAACTATAATCTCAAGGAGTTAAAATTTTTAGTTAAACATGGAATGTAAATTTTACAAATTGCCAACACTTCATGAATACAAAAGTACATAACCGGACTGATGTTTCAAACCTGTGAATAAAATGAGTCCACAATCTCCCTCTGAGCATGTGCAAAAACCTAGAAATAGACAAAAAAGAAAAAGTTGATTCTGTCAATTGAGAAAGACGGAGGACGATCAGTGAGGACCAAAAAAAGACAAAAACCTAGAAATAGTCAACAACAAAAAAATTGATGAGACTGAGAGAATCTTACGGTTGGTGTCCACTGGACTCCTGCACGAAGCGAGCCTAGAATTTCCTTATCCTTAACAAGAGCATTAAATATAGAATGAAGAAGAGTGCTTTCAATTGAAACACCGTTGCCACCATCAATAACATGTGGTAAATGCTGCAAAGAATTCCAAACAGTTGGCAAGTTTGATGGAACAGTAATCCCCCTAGCAGCACCACGAACCATTGCTGTAATTCGTGAAACATATGCGGGAGTGAACAACTGCCCACCTTCCAATCGCCCTTTAATCTGTTTGAATAGGCATCATAACTCAAGGAAGAAATTAAGAAATAACAGAGGCAAAATGTAAAAAGAAAATAGAGAAGAACAAATCCAAGCAGCCCAAATGACTAATAAACCATATTATAGCACGTCCTCAACAATTAAAGAAAGGATTTTCAATTTTTAACTATTAAAATGCGGTGTTTTGTATCGATTTAATTCATCTTCTCTTTTGAGAAATAAATTCCAAAGAAAAATACAAATTACAGAAACCAAGGAGATGTAAATAAATATAAGGCATATGAAAGTGTGTGGACAACTTTCTTTGCCCTTTTTGTCGGAAAAGAACCATGTGCTTGTTTTAAAAGAACTGCTCATAAGCATTAAGCTAACCTAAGTTACAAGAAGTCCCACACCAAATTGTTATAGTGTAAAGTGGCGAAACATGACACATGTGTGCGACTATTTTAATAAAAAAATAAATAATTAAAAAATTGAAAGTAAAAAAGTGTAAATTATGTGTAAGATAGCGCACACAAGCAAAAAAGTGAGGCCCAAAAACTTGAAATGCATAAATTTCAAATGAGAACAAGCACATGGAACTAGGATAGTGTGAGCACCAATGTGAGTGGGAGAATAATGGTGTGTAACTACTTGCAAGTGCCAAGCACTGACAGAATAGAACACATAGGATGTTCTGGTGCGGCTCGGGATGAGATTAGATATGTTACGTGACAGTACGAAAAAATATATGTTTAAAAATTGAAAATAAAAATAAAAAAGCTTATTACAAAAACTGATGGATGGTGAAAGGGGAATAATTTTGAGCATACACACATAAGATAATCTAGAGTATACTTAATTGTGCACGAGTAATTACACATTCATTCAATCATCAATTTATAATAATTTCATTACACATCATGAATCTCTATTAATAGAATAAGGGTTATAAGAATAAGTATAAATTTAAATGCAAAACTATTCATAGACAGTCCAAACAAATGTTCAAATTCCAACATAAACCTTACCAAAAGAAGATAAAATCTAAGAAAATAAATCTAATACAAAAATAAGTAAAGAAAAATATTCAGCCAAATATAGAAAGGAGACAAAAAAAAAAAACTTTATACTTTATAATGGGCACAGTTCAAAAAAGTATTAGTCTCATTTCAGTTCTTTTAACAGCCCTATAGCTACTTGGGCTTTTAAAAATTGATTTAGCCTACTTGGTGTAAAATCAAAATCATAAATAATAATTTTGAGGCATGTAAAAGAACAATTCCATGGCTTGGATGGATGTTCTGATGTGAATAAGGCTAGGGAGAAGACAAGCACGAAGTTGGAGGCATGCATAGATCCAATTCATATATGCACAAAGCTGCTGAAGAAAGTGTATGCAATATGCTTCAAAAAAGAACTCCATGGGCTGATTCGCACTATATGGGTTCAACTCAATGGTTCAAAAAAGATGGGCTGATTCGCACTATATGGGTTCAACTCAATGCGTGGACACCTCTAGAAGGAGTTTCAAATGATTAACAAGCTATATGCAAGCTGTGAAATAATTTGGAGAGGATTCTTGTTGGTATTTGGTCCAAGTGCTAATTTAAGAGTTAAACTTGTTAATAGTAGCCTAGTTTCTTTTTTTTTATTACTTTGGTTTTTTTAAAAATACCAAAAAGGCATGAAGATGTTATGAGAATTGATCCATTTGTTTTGTTTTGAGGGCTATTTATATGCCTTCGATGGAATGAGAAAGAAAACTATGTTTGCATTATTAAATTTATGTCTATTGCAGTCCTTAGAGATCCATGGAGTCTCTCAAATGCATTAATCCTGACTCATCAATCAACTGACCATTCTTGATTGTGATGTCTCGATATACTATGAATCGTGACTTTATTTGTAACTTATGGTTTGAGGTCATGAAGAGCAGTATATAGGAAAACGTATTCAAGAACAGGTTTGTATCAAGTTGCTTTTTAATGTACAAACCATTCTTTGTCTTCTTTCGAGATTCTAATCCTTGTTTAACTATGAGAAGCATCTCCAGAGAGATAATCTCCTTATTTGAGAGAAAGGTTACCTATCAATTAATTATATTTGATGAATTTAAAGGATCAATAAATTCCAGCCAATATATCTATCTCTAAAAAGTATGGATTTTTCAATTCAACCAAAGAACATATAATTTATAAACTTAACAAAAAGGACTCAAATGCACTTCAATGTGATCAAACTAAGTACGCATGTTGAACCAAATTATTTTCAGCAAAACAAAAAACCAAAAATTCCCCAGAAGAAATGTAAAATGATTTTCTCTTAGATTCCTCCCAAGAAAGCAGCATCATTATTTAGTTTTTATATGAAACGATAAATCAATGTGAAGTTACCTCAATAAGTTCAAGTGTCTAGTCTCACTCTATTAATTGCTATTAGAAACTTTGATACCTTAATTGAATTGTATTTTATATGTTATTTCCTTTTACCTAAAGTAATAGATAATTGTTGAGATTAACGATCTGGTTTCCTATGATATGAACACGCTTCATAAATTGATTACATCTAGCTCTGCAACACATTGTGGGTCAATCTTATAAATCCCAGACCCTAGATCGCCCAACATCAGAGATCAAATATTAAAGCAACAGCGAACACAATCCTGATAGAGATTATCAACCCAAAACGGATAAAAAGAAAAATTAATAGCTCAAGTTTTAAAAAGACTAAATTTACAGCCAGGTAACAAGGCCTGAAATTGCTAATTCTAATTTTTCCGGCGCCCTTGAACTGACAAGACAAGGAAGATTCTCGCAAGTTGATTATGGGCCACTTGCCTCGCCACCAAAACTATTTAAACATAGTAAAGTACGCGAAGAAAAACGGGAGCAATGCGTAAAACGTACTATATTTCCAAGGCGGGGCTCCAAAACGGATACCACAAACTCGGAGCCAACATGCAATTGAGCGGCGATCTCTGCGAGGAATATTTGACTACATTCCTGCAGTTTTTCGTTTATCTCTTCCGCGATGCCATCCCAATAAGACTCCGAGATTATTTCCCCGTTTACCAGCATGAGCCCAGGACTGCTAGCCACGACCAGCTGACCATGCTTCTCAATGTGATAGAGATCAACACCAAGGACGTCCGATAGATCTATGAGGGAGACGCGGCCCGACTTTCTGATCTCCGCCACGATCTCAGACTGCAATTGTTCCTGGAAGCGAAAGCCGAACTAATAATTCATTGGGAAATCAAGTGCGGCTAAGCGAAACCCTAGAGATAGGCGGAGATTACAGTGGTAATATATTCTTTGCCAGAGACGGTGTGGAGAAGGTCGAAATCGATGAAACGGAGCTCCTGGAGTTTGAGAATCAACTCAACGACGTTTCGTTCCGAGAGGCGGACACTTGACTTCGCCTGTTGTGCAGACTCGAATTGCCTCTGGAGTTCCAATAGCTCGGCATCCATGGCAGAGATGCTCTAGATCGACGACGTTCTTCCCTGTTTTCCCAGAATGCGTTACGATACCCGAGGGGAAAGAAGCAAGACGGAATGGACGGCTGTATTACTGCCACAAGAACTAAAAACAGTATGGACTAGGGGTGTGAACGAATCAAATAGTCTCTATTCATTCGATTCTATTGAAATTTAGTTTTTTTTTTAATAAATTCGTATTTAAAATTGTTCCTAAAATCACTGTTTATATTCTAATCTTAACGAACGAGTCGAACACGAGCCGAATATGAGATGTTGGCGAAAGACGAGCCAATTTGACATCCCTAATATTAATATTTATAAGTAATATATTATATTAATTATATAACTTATATTATATAAATATATAATACATATATTAATATATTACTAATATAGTATATTAATATATTATTATTAATTTATAATTTATAAATTACAATTTGTTAAAATATCATAAATTTTTATATATAATTATTTTAAATTATTTTATGTTTCGAACAATAACTATTCAAACATGAACAAACCGATCACCGTTCGTGTTTAGTTCGTTCAACTAACCAAACAAAAAAAAATTTGTTCATATTTGTCTCGCTTACTTATCAAAAGAATCAAACAAGAACTCATTGATGAACCGAACACGAGTTGTTCGCGAATAACGAGCTTTCTGACAGCCCTAGTATGGACGCTCTAAAGCACTGAAAACAGTATCGCACTGGAGAAGGTTCAACATTCAAAAGTTGAACGGGAAGAGGTTCAACCGAATAATACAATACATCATAAATTTATTTAAATATGAAATAAATAGTGTAATTTTAAAAAAATATTATAAAATATAAAAAAATTTAATATTTAAATAAATAAGTCATAATAATTTAAACATGTTATTTTTAAAGTTAATAACAATTAATTTAAAATTTTTTAAATATGAAATATGAGAATCACTATAATAATTTTAAAAATATATATAATGAATAAAAATTAAATATTTTAAAGATTAATATAATATTAAGATATATTTTTATATTAG